GAGAGAGAGAGAGAGATTTATCAAAAAACATAATGTGATCTTATAAATGTTTCCAAAATATTAACTAATTATCTACTTTTAAAAATAAATGTTAACATTTTATTATTTATTTACAGTTTTCAATAAGAAATGTAAATATTTATTTATTGATATGTTTAATATTATATAATTCTTATACATTGATAATTGTGTGTTTCAAACATGCAAAATAATATGTTAGTGCAAACACAATGTAATTATTAAACAATGTAGAAATACATAACTTACAAATATTATTCAAGTAAACAATGAGCAGTTTATAAAGACATTAAACAACAATAATGGATATTAACAAATTACCAACATTATTTGTAAATAATAACGCTAAACCAAATTTACACCGAGCACATTGAACAATTTTGATAGTGACCATGATGAATCTACCAACGTTTCCTATACAATTGGAAGTGAATTTTCCAGGTAAAACAATTCGATAGATATTTATGTAGCAGGTGTGATTTATGTTTAAAACAAATTAAATATAATTAATTTACGTGGACGTGGTGGTAAACGAGTCGCTAGCCAACTGAATTAACATAGAAAAAATATTTATAATAAAACAATACTGATTTAAGTCAATAACTTGTTATAAAATTACCCGCTGGGCAAATGTTGCGCCACCCGTTATAGATGTATGTACATTGTTTCTGATAGCATCAAGCAGACTTATCTAAATATTAACCATTGAATTATAAATTAACTTAGTTTATTATCTAGGTTTTTAGAGTTTAATTTACATTATTGCGTTTGGACTCCATTTGTGATTTGAGCAAAAATTCCATGAGTGCTACAATCATAGCCAAAATGAGTCCACCAATTAATATATAAAAGCACCCGGCCACATTGTCTAGTGTAAGCTCGCTCTGATTAGCATCCTATACAAACAGTCAAAAAAAATCCATTTAAATTTTTTAACATATGCAAACAATTTTGTAAATATATTGTTGGGTTTGTTTATGCTATTGTTATTAAGTTAGAAGTATTAATTTATACCAATACCTTTTTCTCTTTAATTTTGCACTCGCTCCGATCGTACCACCATTTATTCTCCAATTTTGTCAAATCACCATTTTCTTTCAGGAACAACACTGCTAAGTTTAATGAATCCCTAACCAACCATAATCAATTATTATAAATTGATTAAATTTTCATATAATTATGTTATCAAATACACTGTACTTTACCTAATAGATGAGCCTAGAGGTGTGGCCACACCATAACCCTTCGCATCTACAATTAATAAATATTAATTTATTAATATTATTTATTATAACAGTTAAATATTACTAGTAAATATATCAATTGTATGTATGTATATTATTTACCTAGATTGCGGCCCACCTTCATTGTATCACATGGCATCCTAAATCACGATAATGAAATAATTGTAGTTATTTCTATGATGATCAATTATTACAACACTAACCTTTCATTAACGTAATCATTTTGTGTGCTCTCTATTAGGTACGCGTACTTTCCCTTCGAGTCCCGCACTCGACGTATGCCTTCACGGCTGGAGTCGACAAAAACGTTTTGCTTTGAGTGCATGAATTCCCACATACGCTGATGGACCGCGATCTTTGATCTCTGAACAATTTATATGTCAGATAGTGATTAACATGTACCAAGTGGTTTGTTGTGTAATTTTTATTAATTATTTTATTGCATAACTATGATTATATATTTTAATAAAATTATATTACCCTGAAAAAGTCCATAGACGAGCCGTGTCTGAGCACTCCGTACTCTACTTCGGTCTGTTTGGCCAAATCGTCAGCAGAATTAATAGGAGTAACCATACGCTCCACCTATAGATCACATGGTGTTAACATATAAGCAAAATATTTAAAATAATTTATACATTATTGACTCATAATTATTTATATCAAAACCAAATTATTTTATACAATTAGATAAAATGTAAATTTCAAGTTATTTTACGATTACTTTACAGTTTAAATGATGAATATATTATTTGACATTTATATAAAATATAAACTTTTTTAAATATAGTTAACAGTCAATTATTATGGGATTGTTTCCACTGGCATTGTCGCCTATGAAAACACTAATATATTTTTATATTACGGTTAGCCTTACTGAAAATTGCCATAAACGTTTCTGTTGTAGAATTTATGTAGAATTTAATGCTGAAAACAGGGATTGTTTCCACTGGCATTGTCGCCTATGAAAACACTAATATATTTTTATATTACGGTTAGCCTTACTGAAAATTGCCATAAACGTTTCTGTTGTAGAATTTATGTAGAATTTAATGCTGAAACCGAATATGAAGTTTAAAATCTTCTATCTCGAATGTTGTTCGAGTTATTCGACTTAAAACTTTTGTTCGATAAATATTCTTTAACGAAATATATTAATATCTTATATGAGTTCAATACAGAATTCAACGCTGAACACGAATTTGAAATCCAAATTTATATTGGTCAAATACCTTTCAAGATATTCGACTTTAATGTTTATCGGAAAAATTTATAACCTTACCTGACCTAACTAAACCTTACCTAATTTAAATTATATTATGTTATATTTGGTTTGGTTATGTTTTGGTTAGGTTAGGTAGCGTTTTCAGTGTAAAATGTAACATAAAATATTTTTCGATCAAATGTTCTGAGTCGAATAACTCGAACGACATTCGAGATAGAAGATTTTAAACTTCATATTTGTTTTCAGCATTAAATTCTACATAAATTCTACAACAGAAACGTTTATGGCAATTTTCAGTAAGGCTAACCGTAATATAAAAATATATTAGTGTTTTCATAGGCGACAATGCCAGTGGAAACAATCCCATAATAATTGACTGTAACCAAAAACTTATTATATGCCTTTGTATTCATTTTGATCTGGTACAAGTAAATTGCAGTTTTTATAAATAATAAAAATATATCAAGTTTATATAACATTTCCATGTAGCTAAAAGAGCTCAGCGTAAATTTGCCAAAATTATTGAACATGATTGGAATGCATATTATTTAAGATCTTTTATGACGTAATTTACAGTTTTATCATATATTTATTACCGTTAAAAATGCGGCTAAATTAGCCGTGTACGATGATAGCAAAATCAATGTAAAAAACCACCATACACTCCCTACGATTCGACCTGGTACAGACCTAAATACAATATACATAAAATTATAATGGCATATTTATTGTTGACGATTAAATGCATAAACGTTACATCAAATGTAAACTTGGTTAAATTAATTTTTTCAAATAGGTTTCTCTACCTAGGACAAACATCGCATCCCTGAGACATTATGGCGCCCAATGAAAACCACAGCGAATTGTAAAACGAGAAATCATTGGACACGTGTGGGCCCAGTAGTGTGTCCTCATAGCGCCACTCCCGGGGCGAGAACCGGGAGACCAGGAAT